TCTACCACTGAGCCACATTCCCAGCCCTGTGTCTGAGATTTTTTTTTTTTTTTGCTCCAAGGCTAGTACTTACACTACTTGAGCCACAGCTCCACTTCTGACATTTTTGGTGATTTTTTTTTTTTTGGTTGGTTGTGGGGCTTGAACTCTGGGCCTGGGCGCTGTCCCTCAGCTCTTCAGCTCAAGGTGAGTGCTCTACCACTTAAGCCACAGGGCCACTTCCAGTTTTTCTGGTGGTTTATTGGAGATTCATGGACTTTCCTGCCTGGGCTGGCTTTGAACCACAATCCTCAGATCTCAGCCTCCTGAGTAGATAGGATTACAGGTGTGAGCCACCAGCGCCTGGCTTTTGGTAATTTACTGAAGAGTCTCACAGACTTCACTGCCAGAGTTGGCTTCAAACCAGTCCTCAGATCTCAGCCTCCGGAGGAGCTAGAATTATACACATGAGCCACTGGTCCCCAGCTTGACAATGCTTTTAAGGATAAATAATTTTGTCAAGCTGAGTTGGATATAAAATGTCTAGGCCTTGCTTTCTTCACCTTAAAAAAATGGGTATGAAGCTGGGTGCCAGTGGCTCACTCCTGTAATCCTAGCTACTCAGGAGGCTGAGATCTGAGGATCCTGGGTTAAAGCCAGCCCCAGCAGGAAAGTTCATAAGACTCTTATCTCCAATAAGCCACCAGAAAACCAGAAGTAGCATAGTGGCTCAAGTGGAAGAGTGCTAGCCTTGAGCTGAAGAGCTGAAGAACAAGGCCCAGGTCCAGAGTTCAAGCCCCACGACAGACAATAAAGAAAAAAGAAAAAGAAAAAGAAAAATGGGTGTGATAGGAAGGCAAAGTGATCCCCAAGGTTTCTTGCAGCCTTGACATCTAAGTATAGAGATTTAGGGACGAAGAGGTGATGGGAGCTACCCGAAGGCTATATTGGCCACTGGCTACCAGATTTTGTATCTTCCTCTCCAAATACTGCGCAATGCACTCACGCATCCCTACTTCTATGCAGAAAGATGTAGAGAATTCTAGGGAGGCAGAAAAGCCCCAGGTCCCAGCCTTACCCAACCTTTACAAGTGTTTATTTGCGCTAGGCACCAGTGGCTCATGCCTGTAATACTTGCTACTCAAGAGGCTGAGATCTGAGGATCGCTGTTGTAAGCCAGTTCAGCCAGCCAAATCCACAGAACTCTTATCTCCAATTAGCCAGAAAAATACCAACTGGATATGTGGCTCAAGTGGTAGAGTGTGGGCTGGTAATGAGTCTTAGTGGTAGAGTGCTTGCCTACCATGCATGAAACCTTGGGTTGGATTCCTCAGCACCATATAAACAGAAAAGATGGGAAGAGGCACTGTGGCTCAAGTAGTAGAGCAAAAGAAGCTCAGAGACCGTGCCTAAGTCCTGAGTTCAAGCCTCAGGACTGGCAAAAAAAAAAAAAAAGTGTTAGAATGTCAGGTACAAACAAACAGACTGTGTAAAAGGCTCTGAACTTAAGCTGAAGTACCTTGCTGGAATCCAGTGGCAAGCTGAAGTACCTTGCTGGAATCCAGTGGCAATGACCCCACCACCCTTCTACCTAACACCTAGCGAAGGGGCAGGGATATATAGCTCAAGCAAATTGAAGAACCCCAATATCTACAGTCAACGATAGGGAGATGCAATGTAATTTCTCCCTTTGCTTTCCCATGCCTTGCCTTTTTTCTGTCCTCTCCACCAGGATCCTGTTTAAAAGCCCCCATCCCTACCTCCAACCTCACCCCAATTCCCAGGGCCCTGGGACTATTTGCATGGAGAAAAAGAAATAGGTTTGTAAGAGTCAGGCCAGGGCTGGGAAAATCTAGTTTGCAAAACAAACAAATGGGGGCATAAATATTTCTCTAGCCCCCAGAGCAGGCTGGCTCCCTCCACCTAAATCCTTCCAGAAAGAACTGATCATCAGTTTTTGGGCTAATGTGCCTTAAGCAGTAGTACAGCCTCTACCTGGCCACCAGTCATGCCAAAATAGCTTCTGCCTGACTGAGAAACAACAGCAGCACATTGAGCTGGCACCCAAGTGAGTGTGTATCTTTAGGAGGCACCAGCCAAGTGTGTAACTGCACGTACAGGGCCCATCACGCAGGCGGCTGGCTGAGAGCTCTGTACTGTGTTCACACCCCTACCTCACTCCCAAACAAGTCTGACGCAAGGAGGGAAACAGAAGCCGCCTTTTTGCTGCTTACAGTTGCTTTCCAGAACTTTCATCTCAGTGGTTAGATGCTAGGGAAAGACAGCTTTCTTCTCTCTTATCCTCTTCTCCCTAGCTGCCCTTGGGCTCAGGAATGGGCAGAGCATGGAGCACCTAACATACCAACCTCATAACCCTCACCCAAGGGGCCGGGGGAGGGGGGAACAACACAGAGGGCCAAATCCTGGCAAAATGCAGGGCAGATACCACCATCTCCTGAGAACCCTGCTGCAGGTTTAGCCTAGTGGGGGAAGGAACAAGGGGATGCTGGGTAAAAAGGAAGCCAGGCCAGTGGCTGGACATAAAGCATGGCTAGGAATGGGGAAAATCTATACCCCAGAAACCCCAGGATTTGGAAACCTGAATACTGCTAAAAATAAAAAAAAATGACACCAGGAGGGAATGACAGCAAACAATGGGTATGTGCCTGGCATACAGCAGGAGCTCTGGCCTAGGGTCCTGGTTCGGGGAACAGATAGACAATAGCAGACAGCCCATATCCCAGCTTGCCACTATGGACAGCTAGCCCAACAGACAGCACAGACCTGCCGTGGGCATTGGGAACTAGCAGGTAGCAAATGGACCTTGGATAAGGTGTTGCCTGAGCTGCTTCAGTCTCCCAGTCTTCCCCCTTGCCCACAGTCCTTTCTCAACAAACATGCTGGGTCACAGGTGTGTGAGGAAAGGGAAAAAGCCAACCTCTTCTTCTCTGCCTACATGACCTGGGAAGCCTTGCCTCACAGGCTGGATAGAAGTGGCATGTAGGAAAGAAGCTTTATCTTCTGCCTCTCCCCAACTCCTACCCCCTGCTCCTACCATGATGTCTCCCAGAAAACAGGGAGGAAAGTAAGCTGGGACTGAGAATGTGGCTTAGTGGTAGAGTACTTGCCTAGCATGCATAAAGCCCTGGGTTCAATTTCTCAGTACCACATAAATAGAAAAGGCCAGAAGTGGTGCTGTGGCTCAAGTGATAGAGTGCTAGCCTTAAGCAAAAGAAGCTCAGGGGCAGTGCCAAGGCCCTGAGTTCAAGCCCCAGGACTGGCAAAAAAAAAAAAAAGTAAGCTGGCACTAGGCTGGTAAAATACACAGAAAACAGAGGAGCCGGGCGCTGGTGGCTCAGGAGGATGAGATCTGAGGATCGTGGTTCAAAGCCAGCCTGGGCAGGAAAATCCATGAGACTGTTATCTCCAATAAACCAGAAAACCGGAAGTGGTGCTGTGGCTCAAATGGTAGAGGGCTCACCTTGAACTGAAGAGCTGAGGGACAGTGCCGAGACCCAGAGTTCAAGCCCCATGACCCACTGAGAGAAAGAAAGAAGGAAAGGAAGAAAGAAAGAAAGAGAGAGAGAGAGAGAGAGAGAGAGAAAACAGAGAGAGGCATCACTGAGCTGTGTTAGAGACTCAGAAAGTCTTGGCTCCTACCTCAGCTAAACTTCAGTCTGGGGAGTGGATGTCCAGAAGCTGTCCACACAGGAACTGAGGGTCTAGCCTAAAGTGATCCAGCAGCCAAGGGGTTAAATTCTCTAGCTTCTATGAACCCCACCCTACTTACCCCCCATCCCCAAAGAGGGAGGAAGTAGCGGAGAATCAAGGCTTGTGTGAGCCCTTAAGAATTTCAAGAATGTCCCATTTCCCTTGGGACTGGGAGGGGGGGGGTAGAAAGGGCCAGCTGCAGGGTGGGGGACAGCAGAGCTGTGGTTCTTCCTCTACCATAGGCAACCTGCCCAGTGGTCCAGTCCTTCAGTAGAGACAAGCTTCACATTGCCTCTTGGGCTGGAGATTTTATCAGGCATCAGTTTTCCAGCACCTGGCACAGGTTGGCACAGAGTAGCAGTCAGACAATAAGTGTCTAATGAAATTCAAGCCCTCAAGGAGATGGGGCTGCGGTATTAGGAGGGGACTGGCAATAGGCTATACAGATACGGACAGCTGGCTACAAAACCCTTTTAGACAAGTCCTCAGTTTCCCTTCCTGGGTGAACTTCATCTAAAAGGCTCCTGACTGAAAATTAAAAACTAGTATCTAATACTCCCATACCTGAGGCATGTAATAAATTATGTATTCTTTTTCCTGAAGAAAAAAAATACTATAGACTCAAATCAGATCCTACATTTATATTGGAATACTGATCTTGCTATCTACTTGCAAAAAGTCACTTGACCCTCTGAAGCTCCGTCCAGCAGGTGGCTGTGAGGTCTGGCCTGTGACCACGTACCTGACATTGTCTTTGCACTAGTTCCTTATGAAGTGACCTTGAAGATGAAAGGCTGTCACACTGAAACTGCAGAAGGTGGGAGGGCAGTGTCCCTCTGAAGCAGGAAACAATGGTTCTTTACCCCAATCCATGCCTCTAGCCGACTGGGCTACAAAGAATAGAGCCTAGAAGGGCACTGGTGACTCATGCCTGTAATCCTAGCTACTCAGAAGGTTGAGATCTGAGGATTGTAGCTCAAAGCCAGCTCAGACTCTTATCTCCAGTTAACTAGCAAAAAAGACAGAAGTGGAGTTGTGGCTTAACTAGTCAAATGCTACCCTTGGAGCAAGAAAGCTGAGGACAGTGCCCAGACCCTGAATTCAAGCCCCAAGTACTGGCAGTGAAATAAAATAAAGTATAACAAAATGGGGATAATAAGAGCCTTTGTTTCTCTCTTATGCTGCCTGGGGAGGGTACAATGTGATTACAATGTATCAAGGAGTGGGCTGAGCTGGCAATTTCACCTTGTGGTTATTACAAGGTAAAGACTGGAGGAGTCCACCCAAGCACCTGCCCCTGCTAGACTCACGCATTGCAGTAGGGCTTCTTCTCATAGCCCTTGTAGTTCTTCATGTTCAGTGTCATCTTGCAGGTCTCGCAATGAAAGCATGCTTTATGCCAGAACTGGGTGGAGACAGAAAGAGGACACCCATCAGACACCAGGACTTCAGGCAGGGGCTCTGCACACCCTCCTACACCCTCAACATAGAATCGCTCCTGGGGAGCAGGGGGCATCTCAGGTCACAGACTGTGATGGCCAATGACACTCCCTTCTCCACTCCCCACCAGGCAGTCCCTTGAGCTCTTGATGGGGGGGTAGGGGGGAGAGAAAGACAGGCCTGAAAGTGAGTGGAAAGGAACTCAGTTACAATGGTGACAGAAGCCCCCAAGAGGTCAGTTCTGCCTCCCCAAACCACTGGCTGGCTCAGAGCTCCGAGCCCTCATTGCTTATGCATAGAGGCACTCTGGTTGCTAAGTAGCAGCAAGGAACAGAAGGGGCAGCTCCACCCACCTCAAAGGCCTGGAGAAGGAGAGGACCAGGCCCCCAGGCCCAGATCCAGGTCCTCCAAGCTCCCACACAGTCTGCACCTCTTCCTCTGAGGCTCCAGCCCTGATGCCTGCCACATCCTATGGGACCCCCCTCCTCCCCATCCAGAAGAGCAAGGTGAGTGTCTCAGCTCTGCACACCACACCCATAACCCCTCCCTCCTAGCTGTCCCCTTCCCCCCCTCCCCCATCCCGCCGGTTGACATGGGAGAGATACTGAAGAGCTTCACTCCACCCATGGACATCAAAGTTCTACTCAGCTAGCTCCATGACCTTGAGCACCTGCTCTTTGTGAAATATACACAATAATACTTATCCTTCCTGGAGGAGTCATGGGAAATCACCTGCAAAGCCTTTATTCAACATAGCACCTGGCACCCAATGTTAGGTGCTGTGAACTTCAGACTAGAGGCAGGCAGGGGTGGGGGTGGAGATGTAGCCAGTCCTTCACTGTATCCAATCACAGCTCTAATCTCCACTGCCTATGTGTGTGACACTGAGGTAAGACGCCAGTAAACCCATAGAGGTCTGGCTGGAATGGAACCACCAGGACCAATCGAGGGTGAGACTGAAGAGGACAGAGAAGGCAACGAGGGAAAGAAAAATAGAATCATACAAGTGACTCTACCCCTGAGAAATGTCCATGAGGAGATGTCATCCACCCCTGGTGGAGGAGGATGAAACTCTAAGATCAGTACCCACCAAGGCTCAGCTGCCAGGATTCCAGAAACCAGCCTGACAGAGCAGTCTGCCCCTGTCCCATATCCCAGCAGTCAGAGACACTCCAGGCTCCAAAAGAAGGTGGCCAGAAGTCAGAGAAGTAGCCAAAGAGACTTAAAGGTGTTCTCTCAAAGAGCTGGTCCCTGGCCATCAGCCTAGGAATTCCCCCAAAGCAGCTTGTATTCCCCAAGCCACAGGTGCTACTGAGACATTTGCAGGAGAAAACCAACAAAAGGAAGGTGAGAAGCTTAGACTCAACCTCTCCAATTCCAGCCCCATTCAACCAGAGACCACGAGGGTAAGTAACAGCAGGGGTAATCGCTCTCTAAGGGGGCACTTTCCCTTCCTATCAAGGAGACACAAAGGAGAATCAAATGTACAAATATTAAACCACGGTGGGAGAACCATTCTTTGGGAAGAAGGCCAATTGGAAGTCTGGAAGTAAAGGGCGTAGTAGCTGCTGAGTTTGCCCGCCCACCCCAAACCTGGGCCTACCCCAGAACCACAGTCCCACTTCACCCCCACGAGGTGTTTAATCCCAACACTAGTGCATAAAACCAAAACAAGGTGGTCTCTCCGCTCACAGGCCCCCAAAGTGACATCTCTACTCCCTCCTCAATGACTGGGAGGCATTGGCAGGCTGCCCCAACACTGTCACCACCCACCCAGACTGTTGGCCTCTGCCTGCTCAGCTGCACATGCCCCTGGCTGGGCCCCGCCTCCCCTGCCCCCGCAGGGGCCTGCCAGCAAAAACATTCTCCGGAATCCAGACCATGACCCACTTTCACACACACATAGGCAGGGATAACACACTGTCCTCGGGCTGGGGACCTCCAAGGCTACCTCCTGATTGATTTCGGAGGAGACAAGGACAAGAGACAGAGACACACCCCTACTCACTCTCACAGATGGCCAGGCCTCCCTCCACCACCACCCTGGAGCCAAGTCCCATGGAGAAGTTGGGAAGAGTATACACTTGAACAGGGCGTTCAAGGCCAATACCCAATTCACGGGTTCCACAAGGCCTCTCCAGGCTGCCATTGAGAGGAAGGAGAGCCATTATACTAGAGCTTATTTCTAGAAGAAGCTCCCCACACTCCCTCCCAGAGATCCTTGGCCTTCAGCTAAATAAATCAGAGGCTGGGGGTAGGAAGGGTTAGTCACCTGTCCCCTTACACTAGGGGAAAGAGCGAGAGAAGGGGTGGCATTGTCCAAAACGAAATGCATTCTCTACGAGACCTATGTATGTAACCCCTCTGTACATTGCCTTTATAATAACAACTTTAAAAAAACAAAGGATGGACTAAGGACCTGCAGGATAACTATTGAAGTTCATCTGCAAAGCAGTTAGAACTGCTGTCTCCCAGAGCACTGTGGAAGGCAGTAAGATGCAGCTTGATGCCTCTAACTGCTACATACCAGGAAAAAGGTTCCCAGGTTCAGTGGCTAAGCGCTAGGATCCTGGGAAGAAACAAACTGTCCTGTCTGAGGGAGGGACATGATGGGGGGGGGGGGGAGATGGTACAGTCCCAGAGTGGTCCTGACTGCCTCCTTCCTCTGGCCCAGGAACCTTGTCCCAAAGCCCTGGTTGAAAGATCCCAAGAAAGAATTCGTGAAAGCATTCTTGGGACTCGGGATACAGGGAACAAAGTACACTTTGAGACACAAGGCTCTAATACTACAAAACACTTGCCAAGTCCAAAGTGTCACTATTCAAAGACATTAGACAGCTCTGACCTGGCCGATAGTGCCAGTGAGAGAGCACTCAGCCAGATTCCAGCTCCCTTACCAACCATTCTGGAAAACCCCCTCAAAAGCCAACTCTGGAAAGGTAAGCAGGCTGGTTCAGGCAGAAGTCCTTCAAGCATCCTTCTTGTGTGGGCTGGGCATGGGCCAGGGCTCCAAAGGGAGGGACACTATGCCTATAGCCTGGCATCTTAACCTCTGTACCAAGGTTCTCTGGGGGTGGCTGTGACTCAGGCGTAAAGTATGAGACTTTCTCCTCTCTTCCTGTTGCCCAGGGTTATGGTTTTTCCCTCCTCTAGGGCAGCACCAGCCCCACCCCGACCAGGTCACCTGACTGGTCACCAGTTAGCTCAGCTGGCCACCTGAGCTGCTGGCAGACACAGGAGATCATTATTATTTCTAATGTTCCAACTCCTGTAATTCCAACACTCAGGACCCCAGACCCAGAGCACTAAGTCAGATGGGATCAGGCAGGGGTGGAAGCTAGTTCCAGCCCTGATAAAGAGTAACTGCAAACACACCAGATGAAAGAACTGTGGATTCCAGCTCTGGCTACAAGTGGGGATGCGCCTGTTCATGGTGTTTATAACTCCCAGGGGCAGCCCTGGCTGCTGTGGGTAATGATGTATGAATGGGTAGGGTCACAAGGGGATCGTAGGGTGTTCCAAACTCCACTAGGAAAACAGTACCACACTACAAGGATTTGTCCCTTCCAAAGAAGAGGGGGTACTCCAAGAAGCTGAAGTAGAGAGGCCTCACTAACGGGAGATTTCCAGAGGGACTAGTTGCAGACCAATCTCTGAAGAGAACCCTGATGTCTCCTGTTTTCAGAAGTTGGGAGAAGCCAGTTGTCAGTGACTTATGCTTACAATCCTAGCTACTGAGGAAGTTGAGCTCTGAGGATAGTCAAAGCAGGAAAGTTTAAGAGACTTTTTTTTTTTTTGGTGCTGGTCCTGAGGCTTGAACCCAGGACCTGAGCTCTGTCCCCAAGGTTCTTTTTGCTCAAGGCTAGCACTCTACCTCTTCTCGCTTTTTCTGAGTAGTTATTAGAGATAAGAGTCTCTCAGATTTTCCTGCTTGGGCTGGCCTCAAGCTGCAATCCTCAAATCACAGCCTCCTGAGTAGCTAGGATTACTGGCATGAGCCACCCACTAGCAAGTGAGTGCCAGCTTTGAGACTCTAATCTCCAATTAACTACCCAAATGATTCAGGTGGAAGAACATCAACCTTGTGGGCAAAAAGCTGACACACAGTGCTCCAGTCCTCAGTTCAAACCCCAGTACCAGCATGCACACACACACAAGTTGGAAGAAACAAGTCAGCAAAAGACAGGGATGTGGCAAGATTGACAATGCAGGTCCCTAGACACAAAGTGGGTGCACAGAGTAGGTGCTCAGTAAATATTTGCTGAATGACTAAGGTCACCTTGGTTCTCCCCCAGCTCCAATTTCAACCTCATTCCTCAAACACTGTCATCAATAATACATATTTATCCAGCATGCAGAGCACACAGGTCCTGTGGGTTAAGAGCTGGGTGGCCTTCGGTGGTGGCAAGGTTTTACTCACCCTACCTACACCTTCAGGAGATAAGAGTCAGAGAGGAGAAAAGATTTCACTCCAAGGACACAGCTTGTACTGTGGTCACATTACAGGCTATAAACCATCAAGGGACTGTAGTGAATCAGGCCAGTCTAAGCTGACTCTCTGGGAAGCCTTTGGAGCCTGGTTAGCAACTGTGCCTGTGGGCCTGAACCTTCCCCACTCCAAGAGAAACCCTTGGGCACCCTCCAGGCACAAGCTCAGGAATCTGGGTGCCAGCTTTTACTTCCTGGAGGAGTTAGGGAAGAATAGGGAGGATACTTGGATATTCCAGGCCCCTAACTTAGTGCACAAGGATGAGGGGAATAAAGTCTCTCCAGGACCACTCTTTATAGACTAAGACCCTCTGGGCAAGAATGAGTAAATTCAAAAGGTTGTTTCTCCATCTAGGAACTCCAAGCTTTAAGTTCTGTCCCCCCAGAGGCAAGCACAGTAATCTGGTGGGTCAGTACCCTCTTGTGTGCCCACAAGATGTCCTCTCCTTCTGCCCAGTCTAGCCCAGAGAAACAGCATGGTCCTACAAGAGCAAGTTCAAAAGTGATTCAAAACCTCAATCCCATCTCCTCACTGGGATTCAAGGGCCAAAGATCATTGAGGAAGCACCAAACACTAGAAGGAACGGAGAGAGAAAATATCCAATGAACTACCTTTGCTCAAACAAAACCCCCACTCCTCTTTCATGCATGCCCAGCCGAGCCCCCAACCCTCTTCACACCACCACACACACCCCGCACCCCCCCCTGCAGTTCCATCAGAAAGAAAGGAATATTTAGACCTGGAGCCAATCTGGGGTTATAGGTAGAAAGCAAAATGAGGAGAGGGGTAAATAAAACCGAGGCCTCCCTGGAAGACCTAGGCTCCTGCTGGAAGAAGAGGGGACCCAGAGGAGGGGCACGTTGCCTTAGGGAAGGGAAGCCTCCGGGACAGGATCCCCCCCCCCCAGGAAACACCCAGCTCTCTACACTCCCATCCCACCAACGGTATAATGGCATCCAGATGAAGAAGTCTATCGTGGGCTGGGGGGTGGGGGTGGGGGACGCATAAGGGCCTCCAGGGGACAGTGAATTTCCAGGAGGCTACACTCCCCTGACCCCCCAAACAACTCCCCTTTTCCACGGCTCCCCCACAACTCCGCCAACCCCACCCTCCATTGGAGAAACCTGCTTTGAAAAGTTAGCTCTTTGTTCTATAAGACGGTTTATAGGCTGAGCACAATTTCAGATCTCAATGAAGCAGGAACCCCCCCCCCTTCCACCAGCCTCCCCCCGCTCAGCTCAGCCCTAACACCCCGACCCCACCCGGCTTGGGCTGGGCTGCCCAGCACCAGGACTTGGCTGTTTGAGGTGGGGGTTGGGACTCTGGAGGAGGGCCCACGGGTCCCCCCCAAACCACTGATCCACCAAGGAGGCCGCAGGTCGTTCAGGGAGGGAAAAAATGAGGAGGGGGTTATGCAGTGGAGCCCTAAACCTCCCTTTTCCAGACTCGACCCCCCGCGACCGACAGGCCCCCACCCCAGCCTCCGGGTCCGGAAGCCCGGCCACCCGCAGCCGGACCGGCGGGTTTCGCTGGCCCCCGGCCTCCGCCCCGCCCCCGCCGCCCCCTCCCCCAGCGCCCCGCGCTTCCGCCTACTTGGCGCTCGCCGCCGCGGGGAGAGGGAGCGGCCGTCTCCACTCACACTCCGGGTCCTGGGCGGGGGAGGCGGGAAGGCACCTCCAAACTCCCCCCGCCACACACACGCCACCCGCCAGGCTTGCCAGTCCTCTCCGATCCCCCCAGTCCTTGGGAGCACGAAGCCCACCCATCTTCCAGCAGAGGCTGCCCACCCCGCCGCGCCCTGGATGTCCAGGCTTCCAGATGGGGGACGAGGGGGGGTCCTGTCCCCACAATCCAGGACATCCCCTCGACCTGCTCTCCATCTTTTCGTCAAGGGATCGCGGGGGCCAGGCAGCCCCTCTCTTTATCCCCCCCCCCCGCCCCAATGAGAGTGTGGCTCGGGGACTGCCTAGACGCGTCTCCCGGTCCCGGGGCTCACCTTATCCAGACAGTTCACCTTCTCCGTGGGGTACACGATCTTGCCGCACCGGGCGCAGTTGGGGTTCATGGTTCCAGGTAGAGGCTGGGGCGGGGACGCCCGAGCTCGCGCGCGTTCCGCTTTGCCGGGGCGAGCTGGCGGGAGGCGGCCGCGGCTGCGACTGTGCAGACGGCGGCGACCGCGACTGGATCAGAGGAACTGGCCTCGGCCTCCGCCCGCCTTCCCCTAATAAACACGGCGGGGAGGAGGGGCTGCACCGGGGCGGAGACGCGCCGCGGGCGCGGGCAAGGGGCGCGCGCGGCGCGGCGCGCTCCCCGGGCCACGCGGGGCTGCGCCGAGGCGCGTTCCGGGGAGGACCGCAGGGCCCCAGTGCTTGCGCCGCGGCTCGCCCAGCCCCCTGGTGCCCTTTGTCCTGTACGGTTCCGTCGTTGAGCGGTGGGCAGCAGCGATCCCCCACCCCCCACCCCCTCCAATCCGGCCAACTGGGACACCGAGGGCTCCGGGGGCCGGCAGACCTCTCGCACCCCATCGAGGGTGTGGTTGAAATCCTATGGAATGCCCGAGTTAGAGTCACCGCACTCGGGGACTTTTCCTTCTTCCAGTCGGTGCCTGCCGTGGATCTGGGGACGGAACGGGAGGGAGCCCCCTCGGTCCCGTCCCCTCTCTCTCACACATCCCCCCTCGTTAGCTCCCTTCCCGCCCACATCCTTTCCCACTTTTGTAGGGCTGGATGCCTCCCCGCCCGACACAGCCCCTTCGGGACCAGACTACTCCCCCTTCTCCCACCACACTCCAGCGCCTCAGCGGCACAAGCTTTCCACAGGCTCCGGGTATCCGCCACCGTCTGCTTAGCGCTTGGTCTCCTATTCCTCCTTCATTCCTTTCCCCTGATCCGTACTACAAGTAGGAGCTGGAACAGTCCTATTATCCAAAAGAGCTTCCTCCTCTCGCTGCAGCGGCGCGGGGGTATAGCTCAGTGGTAGAGCATTTGACTGCAGATCAAGAGGTCCCTGGTTCAAATCCGGGTGCCCCCTCGGTAATATTTTGCTTTATTTTTCTTTCTTCCTGTGATTATGCTGAATTCTTATATTTCAACATTCGATTCTAGGTTTAAAACAAAATGAAAACGAGAAAAGTCTCTCATAAAAAATGAGGAAAGCTCAGAACGAGTTTAGAAGAAAGCTTCCGACTTTTCCTTTGTTCCCCCAGGAAGAGGGTGTGGGTACAATGCATGACCAGGTACAAAAGATGCCTTGTCCTCTCACAGGTGCTACTCAGGTGTGTTCGTGGGACAAGATGACCCTCCAAGTCTGCCCTCATTTCCCATGGAGGTATGGCAAAGTCAAAAGAAGGAAACTTACAGACACAGCCCTTCACCAACTTCAACTTTCATTTTCCTTTCTGTGGTATGAATGTGTGTTGCTTCTGATACCCGCTGAATAAACGTGCAAGAACGTTTCACCACCTAATGCACATCCATCCATCCTTTGAATGTACATGAAATCATGTCCCTATGCAAAGTAATTTAAATTACTGCAGTGACTTTCAAATGAGAACACACCAGAATAACAACCCCACCTCCAGAATTGCCTCCAGCTTCAGATCCTATAGGGCTGGAGGGGAGGGGCCCTGCGATTTTGTTTTTTGAATAATTTTCCAAGTGATGCTGGGGACAAGGTGCCACCCTTGGGGTGTGCTACAGAGCCATCGAGTTTCAAATCCTTAAGATGGGGACAGATATCTGCTGGCCAGGGGACTTACAAGTATCACTGTCAGACTGGAGGAAAATGATATGTGTGAAGGGAGAAGCAAGGGCATCCCCTTCAACTCAGTTTTGCCCAAAAAAAGGAAAAATAAAAGACGGAGAGAAGCATGCTGCCTGTGTCAGGGGTCAGCTGTGATAGATATTTTAAACTTGGAATTTAATTGTGTCATCCCTGGGGACCCCAAGGGAATACTTGTCTGCATTTTTTTCCCCTAGTTCCCATTACTGTGAGTTACTGGGCTGTACAAGGAGAGCGAAGGGAACTGCAATGCAAAACCCAAACTAAATGCCAACCCATGTTTATGCACGTCCTTGGATGCCCAGCCTCACCTTGCCATCTTGGTCTAGGCTATCAGGCCACAGCCCTACCTTTGGGCTGATATAAGAAGGGAAATTAGCTCTTCCTCTCTTGCTCTTGCTCTTCTTTTCTGCTCTTGCTCTTGCGCTTGCTACTCTTTTCTTGCTCTCTCTCTGTTCTTTTCTTGCTCTGTCTCTTTCCCAGCCACGTGGAGTGCCAACCTTGCCTGGTCCCAGCAGGTCTACCCCTCACCTGAATACCACGTGAGTGCTACTGTTCTTACCCCTCTCTCTGCTCTTTTCTAGCTCTTTTCTCTCTCTTTCCTCTCTTCCCAGCTCTCTCTCATTCCCAGGCCTTCCCCAGCCACGTGGAGTGCCAACCTTGCCTGGTCCCAGCAGGTCTACTGAATAAACCTACCCCTTACCTGAATACCACGTGCGTGCTAATGCAGTTCTTACTCGGCTACCTCTTTTTTAAAAACCTAACATTTTAATTTAAAAAGAAAAAAATATTAAAAAAAAAGAAGGGAAATTATTCACTTTTAAACTCTTTTATGTCTGCCCATGTCCTCTTAAACCTGGAAAGTCTGTAGGTTTTCTTTTTCTTTTTTTTTTTATTGTGAAAATACCGTACAGAGGGGTTATAATTACATGGGCAAGATAATGAGGACATTTCTTATCAAGCTTTGTTGCCTCTTCCTTTGTTTCCCCTTCCCATCCCTTCCCATCTCCTACTTCCCACCCTCCTACCCCCAGCAGTATGTAGGTTTTCTGAACCTGGATTCATCCTCTTAATCTTTTGTGTCAGACAATAAACTGGGACCCTTACTGCTCCTAAGCTTCTTTTTGCTCAAGGCTACCACTCTACCACTTGAGCCACAGTGCCACTTCCAGCATATTCTGAATGGTTTGTTGGACATAAGAGTCTCAAGGACTCTCCTGCCCCGATTGACTTTGAACTGAGATTCTCAAATCTCAGCTTCCTGAGTAGCTAGGATTACAGGAGTGAACCCCCAGCATCTGGCTTCTAACTTTTTTCACTCAAAACAAAATTGTAATTGACATTAAAGCAGTGAAAAGAACTTAGTACAATCACTGTACAAATAGGGAGAGCAAGTGAGCTTCGGGTCACAGAGTTGTGGGAATACTCAAGAAGGGAGTACATCTTCAAAGTATTTACAAACCACTGATAAATTACCTTGAGATCTGAGTGCCTGCGAAAAATGTAACAGCTTGAGAGGGGGCACCCGGATTTGAACCGGGGACCTCTTGATCTGCAGTCAAATGCTCTACCACTGAGCTATACCCCCTCTGCTGGCAAAGGCTTGGTAAATTGTTACACATGGATTGCACATTTTTGTACTGAACCTTGGTAATTTGTCCAAAATGACTACCTTTTTGCTAGATTATACTAAATTTTTCAATACAATCGCACATGTTAAAAAAAAACTGAAAACATGTAAATCCCAGTATTTTCTAGGCTCATTTCATTATCTACAACCCCGTACGTTTTACTCCAAGTCCCCAAATAATATCTTGTAAAACTTAACCCCTAGTCTCTTCTGGATACAAATATTGGAGAAAAGATACACCCACTAAGAAGCTTTCCTCCAGAATATGCAAGTAGAAAGCCTAAATCATCACCTAGAATTATATAGGGGAGATTTACAGGGAGTCAAGTGTGGACTCAGACTACCTCAAGAAAGAAATCCTGCAATCTGCAATCATGAGTGGACCTTGAGGATAGTATTATGCTAATTGAAATAAGCCAGGCAAGCCAAATACAGCATGATTCCAATTCTATGAGGTATCTAAAATACTCAAACTCACAGAATACAATATAGAATGCCAATAACTGGGAGGAGTTAGCAACAGAGACTTGCTGATGCATGCTGAGATATCTGTTACACAAAGGTAAGGAAATTCCTGCTACATAACTTTGTGCTTGTAGTTAATAATACTGTATTGTACATTTAAAAAAATCTGTTAAGGGAAGTGACACTGTGGTTTGAAGTGGTAGAGGGCTAGCCTTGAGCAAAAGAGCTCATGGACAACACCCAGGCCCCTAGACCAAGCCTCACAATAAATAACATAAATACTAAAATCTAGCCAGGTGTTGGTGGCTCATGCCTGTAATCCTAGCTCCTCAGGAGGCTGAGATTTGAGGATCGAAGTTCAAAGCCAGCCCAGGCAGCAAAGTCCATGAGAAGTTTCCTTTCACAGCGTCCTTTTTCCTTCTGCTGCCATCCCTTAAACCTCTCCTCTAACCTCCTGTCTTCCTTTTACAAGGACTGGTATAATTACTGTGAGCTATAATCAAAGATAATTACCCCTTCTCAAGATCTCTAACTTAATCACACCTGCAAAGTTGCTTTTATGGAAAATAACATTCACAAGAGGGTTCATAAGCCCTACCATAAGAGCCAAGCTGGAGAGGACTTCAGGCACTCAGGTCACCTGTGGCAAGGGAGCCACAAAGCCTGCTGTGGATTGGATGGCTTGACATGATAAGAAAAAAAGGATGAATCAAAAAAGATTCTTAGGGCTGAGAAGGTGGCTCAATGGTAGAGTGCTTGCCTTGCATGTATGAGGCTCTGGGTTCCATTCCCCAGAACCACGTAAGCAGAAAAACCCAGAAGTGGCACTGTGGCTCAAGTGGTAGAATGTTAGTGACACTGTGGCTCAAGTGGTAAAATGCTAGCCTTGAGATAAAGGACTGAGGGACAGTGTCCAGGCCCAGAGTTAGAGTTCCAGCCCCACAACCAGCAAAAAAAAAAAAAAAAGATTCTTAGAGCCAAGCACCAGTGGCTCTCACCTGTAATCCTAGCTATTCAGGAGGCTGAAATCTGAGGATACCAGTTCAAAGCCAGCCTGAGCAGGAAAGACTGTGAGAGTTATCTCTACTAACTACCAAAAAACAGAAGTGGAGCTATATAGTGGTAGAGCACTAGCCTTGAACAAAAGGAACTCAGGGACAGAACCCAGGCCCTGAGTTCAAGCCCCAGGACTGGCACCAAAAAAAAAAAAAAAAAAGATTTTTAGCAGAGTGTAGCAGTGCATACCTGTAATTCAGAGAGGAGGGAGACCATAGGTAGATAGGTAGGTGGATTCAAAGAGGTGATAATTGAAAAAGAAAAGG